CTCCATCTCTACATCTCTACATCTCTCCATTGCTCCATCTCTACATCTCTACATCTCTACATCTCTACATCTCTACATCTCTACATCTCTACATCTCTACATCTCTCCATCTCTACATCTCTCCATCTCTACATCTCTACATCTCTACCATCTCTACATCTCTACATCTCTACATCTCTACATCTCTACATCTCTACATCTCTACATGTCTACATCTCTCCATCTCTCCATCTCTACATCTCTACATCTCTACATGTCTACATCTCTACATCTCTATATCTCGATATATCTTAGTAACATCTCTACACCTCTACATCTCTTAGTAACATCTCTACATCTCTTAGTAACATCTCTACATCTCTTAGTAACATCTCTACATCTCTACATCTCTTAGTAACATCTCTACATCTCTTAGTAACATCTCTACATCTCTATATCTCTACATCTGTATATCTCTCTCTCTCCATCGGCAGGCATGGGCGGCACCAAGTTCATCTCGTTCGAGGAGCGTCACTGGCACAACGAGTGCTTCCTGTGCGTCACCTGCAAGACTTCACTTGTCGGCAAGGGCTTCATCACCGACGGGCTGGACGTGCTGTGTCCAGACTGCGCCAAGACTAAGCTGCAGTCCCAGATACACGCCTAGGAGGAGGAGGAGGCAGAAGAAGAGGAGGAGGAGGAGGAGGAGGAGGATGAGGAGGTGGTAGTTTAGACGTGCTGTGTCCAGACTGCGCCAAGACTAAGCTGCAGTCCCAGATACACGCCTAGGAGGAGGAGGAGGCAGAAGAAGAAGAGGAGGAGGAAGAGGAGGAGGAGGAGGAGGCGGGGGTGGAAGATGAAGAGGTGGTGGAGGAGGAGGAGGAGAAGGAGGGGAGAATGTCCCACAAAAGTGGGGTAGTGGTGGAGGAATGGGTGTCGTTTCACCCGTGGGAGGAGCGAGTGGGTTCGTTTGCTCTGCTGGGAGGGGGGAGGAGGGGGTCGTTCCACGACGCCAGCAGGGAAAGGTGTAACAGGGTCGATCTAGGTGGGGTGAGGGGGAGGGATTGGCGGAGCAGGAGGGAATGGTGCAGGGGGAGGGAAGGGTGGGAGGGGTGGTGTTTCGAGGCAGCTGACAATGGGAAAGTGGGGTTTATTTGCGGGTGCTACGTTAGCGTAGGTAAGTCTCTTCAAGTGCGGGTGTGCCTCATGCGTTTGAAGCGTCCCCGATTCTACAATCGGGTCTTTTTCCATTAAAAAAGCCCCGCCTCTTCCGATTGGACGGCGCGGCAGCCATTTTTCAGGGCGACGCGTTCCGATTGGCCGCGGACGCCCATATATGCAAACCACTCGTGTTCCTGTAAGCTCGCTGGTTGGTCGTAGCAGAGGTTTTATTTTCGATGTAAGAGGGGCTGAGGGGTTGTGGGTGGGTCGCAATTCGAGCCTGGGTTCGGGTATAGGAGATAAATGTTACCTAGCGAGAAAGCTAGAGAGGGGTGGCAGAGAGAGAACGAGAGCGAGAGAGTGAGAGACAGGGGGAGAGAGAGCGAGAGAGAGAGAGAGGGAGAGAGAAACATGGGGAGAGAGAGGGAACGTGAGAGAGAGAGAGACAGAGAAAGAGAGAGAAAGAGCGAAAGAAACGGAAATAGTGGTACAAAGGTTGAGGGAAACACGTTTGGACTAATATATAGAGAAGGAATGACAGTGAAAAAGTGCAAGAGAAAGAGAGAGGTGGAGAGACAGGAGAGACGTGGGGGAGGGGGCAATAACAGACAGAGGGGAGGAAAGAGGAAAGGAGAGATGAGAGGAGAGCAGAGGCAAGAGGAGAAGGGAGGGAGATGAGAGAGGAGGGAGAGGAGAGAGGAGAGGAGAGGAGAGAGAAGAGGAAGAAGACGCAGGATGCTGCACATAAAACCTTCTCCTCGTTCGCTCGAGAAACTTTTTCGTTGTTGTTTTTTTTAATCGTCATTCACACTCTTTCTCAAGGTGCTATATTCTTAGACGGGCGCCGCGTCCCCGCTCGGCCTCGGAACTCCTCGCGCGGAGCAGGAACGCGGCGCCCGTCTCCGGTCTACTCTTCCCGTGCGCGCGGGGTGGTCGGTGGCGACCCCTGGCGGCGACCTCGCCGTCGGGTCGCAGAATCTCGCTGTCGTCGTCATTGTTGTTGTTTATTGTTGTTGTTGTTCTTCTAGCAGGCAGGCCGCCAGCGGCGCGCGGCGCGCCGACACCCGAATCGCTAACGACTCGGTCGCTCGCTTCCGATTGGTCGGTCGCGGACTCGTTAATTAACTCCCGTATATTAATTAGTTAGGACTCGATGACGCTTCCGAGCGCGCGGCGGCGCCGTCGCTTATTTTATATATATATATTATTCATTAGAGACACTGCGAGAGAGAGACACTACTATTACTCTACGTATCGGTATCCGTCAGGTTGTCAATACAAGATGGCCGCCGCTGCTTTAAATGTGAGCCGCGGCGGCGCGGCCGGGACCTCGCTAGGTGACGCCGCGGCGGCTCTCCTAATATGTATTGCTTGGACGCGCGCGCTGGAGCCATCGGCGCTGTCGTATGCAGCGACCGCTGTTTTGCGTGACCTCGGCGATGACCTTGACACGGGCGCGCGCCGGCACGACCTTGGCCGGCTCGACAGAGGTCGGCGTCGGCGCGAACGTGTCAAGGTCGTTCTGCAAGCGTCGCCGCTCGTGCGTGACCCCTGTCGAGGTCGCATGGTCGCGGTCGCCACCTGCGTGACCTTGACAGACGTCGCCGCTTGCGTGACCTTGACAGAGGTCGCCGCCTGCGTGACCTTGACAGAGGTCGCCGCTCGCGTGACCTTGACAGAGGTCGCCGCTCGCGTGACCTTGGCAGAGGTCACCGATCGCGCGTGACCTTGACAGAGGTCACCGATCATGCGTGACCCCTGTCAAGGTCACGCAGCAGAGGTCGCGCCGCTTGTCGGTCCTTTCGAACCCGTTTGCGGTTTTCTTCGAAAATTTAGTTGGTGAGTTTTGATGCTTGTATGCGTTTCTACAAAGTATAGAGTTGAATGCGGCGTCTGGAAGGAGGCGGTGGGGCGAGAATTAACAAACAACCGTTATTTACTATTATCGCGTATTTTCAAAGCCACGTGAATCTTACTCTATGCACGTTTGCTAGACGGGCGCCGGACTTCTAGGCCGCGCTCCGCTCCGGGTGCGCGGCGAGGAGTCGGCGCCCGTCTAGCGTCAAACAGATATGGTGTCCATCGGATATAGTGATTATTATGTAGAGCGAAATTGTTGTTATGTCGCGCCGTCAGGTGGCGCCACGTGTCTACGGGCGTGCGATTGACGCCCCCTGGTGTCGACGCGTGCGCCCGTCCAGCATGCAACAGCAGTGCTTCCCACCAGGTACCGCCACCGGCGTGGCCCTAGGTGGCAGCACAGGCGCCAGCGGCATCGGCAGGGCTTTCCGCGACGTGGAACGGCGGCGCCATCTGCCGGCGGGAGAGAGCCGGTCTTCGTTTAGCGTGGAACGGTTGCTGCGCTGCGCTCGCTTGGTAGATCGTGGCACCCTCTTGCGGCAATGTGGGGCCAGGACGGAGGTTGCGCGAGTGCGGCTGCTGTTGTGCGAGTGCGGCTGCTGTTGTGCGAGCGCGGCTGCTGTTGCGCGAGTGCGGCTGCTGTTGCGCGCTGATGCTGTCCACGCGCGTTTTCGCGAATAAGAACATTAAAGTCGATCTTTTTAAACAAGTACGGCATTCGCTTGTTTTTGTGATCTTCTCGTCCTCTTTTGCCAACATCGACTCTGATGATGATGATGATGATGATGACGATGACAACGACGATGATGATGACGATAATGCGCATACAGTCAAAGTGTTGAAGTAGACTACCAGAGCGTTGCTCTTACTTTCCGCTCTTACTCTCACACCCTCGTTTTTGCCGGACGCACGGACAGCCAAACAGACGGACGGACAGATATTTATATAGATATATATATATATATTTAAAGCATCCAATTTTAATGCATATACGCACGCATATATGCACATTTATTTACACGCATATTTAATACATATATATATACGCACGCATATTTAATTAATTGCGTGTAATGCACTCAATACAAACAATGCACAGCATATATACGCAGCAGAACACTTATAATGGATGATTGGACAAAATGTATTTGTGCAGGCAGCGTTGGTTTCGAATTTTGCCCAGGGGAGAGATAGTGATCCGCTAGGGGACGGCTCTGATTGGCTAATTTTGTCTCTTATTTATTTTATTTTTTCTTATTTTTGGCTGATTTTGTTTTATTTTAGAATTAGGATTAGGGTTAGGGTTAGGGTTAACTGATTTCTATATCCACAACTTATTTCTATATTCACTATCTCTCCCCTGAGACCTACTAGTTGGTTTCTGCTGTGGTTCACAATAGATATAGATATGATATATAGATGTTATATCTCTGGCCCGGGATCTCTGGGTTCTTGATACATTCACATTGCGTTGTCAACACTAACCACAGCCACAGCCACCGCAGCGCTAACCCAAGGAATTGTCTCGTCCGTAATGTACTATGTATGTGCGTGCGTGCGTGTATATGTTATAGTATTATATTATATATATATATATTATATATTATTTACCCGAAAAGAGAGAAAGAGAGAGGTCACATCGAGAGGAGAGATTCGCAGAGAGAGAGAAGGCGAAAGAGAAGATAACATAAAATTGAAGAGGAGATACGACGAACAAGAGAAACCAGAACAAGAAAAGAGAAGGGAGAGAGAGAAGAGTAGAGAGAGAGAGAGAGAGGAGAGAGAGACACAGAGAGAGATGAGAGATTAGTAGAGAGAGAGAGAGAGAGGAGGGAGAAAGAGAGAGCAGAGAGAGAGACAGACAGAGGAGAGACAGCAGAGAGAGACAGGGAGAGAGAACGAAGGGGTAAGAGCAAGGAGAAGAGAAGAGAGCACAGAGATGCAGAGAGAGGGAGACATAGAGAGAGAAGAGAGAGAGAGAGAGGAGAGAGAGGAGCAGAGGAGGGATAAAGGAGGAGAGAGAGGAGAGGGATAAAGGAGGAGATGAAGAGAGAAGAGAGGACAGTATCTAGAAGAGAGAGAGAGAGAGGACAGATTCTAGAGCAGAGAGAGAGAGAGAGAGAGAGAAGAGAGAGAGAGGAGAGGAGAGAGGAAGAGAGATGAGAGAGAGAGATGAGGGTGAGAGAGAGAGAGAGAGAGAGAGCGAGAGAGCGAGATAATAGAGAGAGAGAGAAAGAGAGAGGATAGAGAGAAAGAGAGAAAAGAGAGAGAGAGAGAGCGCCGAGAGAAATAGAGAGCGATTAGAGAGAGATAGAAAAGGAGGAGAGAGATGAGAGAGAGAGAGAGATAGAGAGAGGAGAGATAGAGAGAGAGCGCGCGATAGAAGAGAGCGTAGAGAGCGAGGGGAGGAGCGAGAGAAGAGAGAGAGAGAGAGATAGAGAGAGAGAGAGATAGAGAGAGAGAGAGATAGGGAGAGAGAGACGAAGAGCCGAGAGAGAGAGCGAGAGAGAGAGAGAGAGAGAGAGAGAGATAGATCTATAGAGAAAAAAGAGAGAGAGATGGAGGAGAGGAGAGAGAGAGGATAGAGATAGCAGATAGAGAGAGAGAGCCGCAGAGCGACGAGCGAGAGCGAGAGAGAGAAGCAGAGAGAGAGAGAGAGGAGAGAGAGAGAGAGATACGCAGTGAGAGACAGAGAGAGAGAGATGGAAGCAGAGAGAGAGGAGAGAGGAGAGAGAGAGGAGAGAGAGAGAAGAGCGCGAGAGAGTGAGCGCGAAG